AGAGAGAGAGAGAGAGAGAGAGAGAGAGAGAGAGAGAGAGAGAGAGAGAGAGAGAGAGTTTTTGCTCACCACTTAAGGAAATAGAAAGCACACACATGAAAAATATATTAGAATTGCATACATATATAACTTCATGGGACGGTTGGCCGGGAAAGAGAACAAAAAGAGTAAAAAAGAAATTGGTTAAGAATCACTCGACTTTATATTTTAATCTATAGGAAAATTGTTCAGATAAATAGTTTTTATTGATTTGGTATGGTTTATATGAAAAAAAGAAATTTTGCATTTTTAGAATTGTGCATTTATAGAAAGTGATTTCACATGTATACATAAAATAAAAACAAATTACAAATTTTATAATAGTTAAAACATTTATGGGGAAATTACTTTTGCATGTTTCTAATAAAATATTTCGTACATAAAATTAAAGATAGATAATTAAATAAAAAAAACGACATACCTACATGAGCTTTTATGATTTATAGTTAAAGGTTTTTATTATGCATTTTGGAAAAGAGACTTCGCATTATAAAACAGAAAGAAGTATAAGTTGCATATTTGATAGTAGGTTTAAGATTTATGGAAATTCTGTAGCGTATTTCTAATAAAAGAGTCCATACAAACAGTAAAAATAGAAATTAAATGCAAATGACTTACTTACCTGAACTTTTAAGATTTACATAGATTATTTTTTTTATTTGAAATTTTTGGAAAACCTTCGCACAAATATTATAACAAATACTAATTACAAGTTATAAATTTTAAAAGAGTTTGAAAGTTTATGAAAAAAAAATTGTTGCACATTTCTTATAAGTCTCCGTAAAAACGCCAAAAGTAGAAAATAATTATAAACGACAAATTCTATGATAAATTACTTACCTGAGCTTTCAAGATTTACATGGAAAAACTTCATTATACATTTTTGGAAAGAGACTTCGCACAAATATTATAAAGCAAAAAAAAACTAATTACAAGTTATAAATTTTTTAATCGTTAAAAATTAAGGAAATTTTTTAGTTGCATCTTTCTAATAAAAGTGTACAAACACCCCAAAAAATGAAATTAAATGCAAATTACTAGTTTAAATAACTTGCTAGATTTACATGGAAGAAATAGCATTATGCACTTTTGTAATGCAACTTACAGAAATATCATAAAATAAATAAATAAATAAATAAATAAATAGGAACTTTATATTTTATAGTATTTTATGGGAAAAAAATGTTGCATTTACAAATATTTTGGGTGTATAATAAGATAGTGATTGTCAGTTTATATGTAGAAAAAAATATTAAGAGCATAAGTTTTACATGAAAATGATGGACATGCTGTTCATATAGAGAAGATCCCAGGAAAAGCAAAGGATAAAATTATGGCTTGCAAAATATATACTCTAAATTAGTTATCCAATCACAATCATGATTTTGTTTTCTTTATATACAGATATGGTACATAGAAATTACGGATTTGTAAACTTTGTTCAACGTTTTGTTTTGACTATTTTCAAAATAAAGTAATAGTATATCTGACAAAATTAATTAAAAAAGAAAAAGAAAATCTAAAAGAGGCAAAACATGATTTTTTGTTTGTTACTAAGAACACATGATTTTCTTCTCTTTGAGTCTCTATATAGGATTAGGAAGCGCGAGACTCTAGTGCAATGCACCACTCAACAAAATCTTTCGTATCCTCAAACACCTCTCTCTGTCCATTGATCTAGGGCTTCTTCTTCGACATTTCCTCTCTTAATCTCAGTGAAGCAGGTATACTTTTCTCCCTTTAAATCGTTCAATGCTTGCCAACGATTTAGTGTGATTCGATTCCATGCATAAATTAATGTTTGCGTCTTTTTTTTTGGATAAATTAATGTTTGCGTCTTCTTTCATTTATAATAGAATATTTAATTTTTTCCGAGAAAAAGGGGTTTAGTTCCTGCGAAACTGAAATTTTGTCCGATCAATCTGCTTAGCTCCCAGAAATGATATATGTTATTAGGTTATCTTCAATAATAACACCAAAACATTAAATTCAATGTAAATCCATCTCCAAAAAGACATCAAACTTGATATCATTCTATCAAATTTGGTGTAAAGACACCAAATAGTGTCCATCACACAAAATTTTAAAATATTTTTTTTATATATTTCATTTAATAATATACTTTAATAATTATTATTAATTAATTCAAATTTGTAATTTAAGATAAATAGAATATATTTTAAATCATTTTATATATTTAAGTTTTATTAATAAATCTCAAAATTCCATATTGTAAGAACATATATTATAGATTTTTTTAATTTTAAAATTATAAAATTTTAATTAATATTTCTTTTACAAAATAGAAATTAATATTATAAGCTAGATTTAAAAGTACGTAACTAATTAAATTTTATGTAATACTATTAAATTTATCTAACATTAAAATAAAAATTTTATTTTATAAATAGTTAAACTTGTATTACTAACTAATACACATTTTATAAAAATATATTATTATTTTGTTATATATTTTCATTTTTATTTTTTTGTAATTTTGATCATAACTAATATTTTATATATAATAAATACATAAAGATATAATATTAGTAAACCAAAAATAAATGCAAAGAAATTTTATAAACATAAAACTACCAAAAATTTGACAAACATAATAGATAAATGTGATAAAATAAATAATTAAATTTTAAATATTATTAAACATAAAATATAAAAACATATAATATTACTTTTCGTGTAAAATTTGGTTTTATTGTTGGAGATAAAAAAAAAATTGACACCAAAACACCAAATTTAAGGTAGTTTTAACACTAAATTTGGTGTCATTGTTGAAAATACCCTTAGAGTGATAAAATCTATATCTGATGAATCAACCCAAATTTGACCCAAGAAATTGTACCAAACCAATATGGTATAATATTCGAAATGTATCCAAAGTTTTAATATCCAAATCATCAGAACAAAATTCAATCCGAACCAAAATATTCCAGACATTCATATATATATATATATATATATATATATATATATATATATATTAGTCATTTTAAAATCTAAAATGCATAAATATTTAAAATGTTTTTAGCTATCCCAAATATCCAAAAATGATTCAAAATAGCCAAAGTAAATATCTGAACATAATAAAAATACGAGAAATGCCTATCGATTATCTTCTCAATTGTCCAAACAAAACCAATTTTCATGTTAATTTAATATATCTGGTAATACAATATTCAAGCTTATTTATTATATTGTACTTTTTTGGATTTTGAAGATTTCAAAATATATTATTAGTCTTTTTTCTACATAATTTAAATGAGTATATGAATCTGAACCAAATACGTAAAATTCAAAACAAATCCAAACCAAACTCGAATCAAAATTTGTAGATCCCAGAAAAAAGTCTAAATTTCTAATCCCGAAAATCCAAAATATGAATAGACCTGAATTGAACCTGAAAGGATACCGAATGTCAAGAGTACATGTTGTGTTCTTGCTTTTACCAATACCATAGACAATTGTACTATGTCTCTGTCATTTTTTCTGACCCGGTTTTTCTTCCTGCAGATATGGATTCTCATGAAGCAAAAAGGCTACCACCTCCCCCACCTGTAGTTCCACCAAACCTTGTACCTGAACTGGAGCCTACTAAAAAGACCACACTTCTCCCAATGGCTCGGCGTGGCTTCGGGTCCAACGGAGAGAGGATACATCTTCTTACAAATCACTTCAGAGTCAACTTCAACAACGCAAAAGGCCATTTCTTTCAATACAGTGTATGCACATGTTTCGTCTAGTATTCTATTTGTATCACTGTTTTTTTTTTTCATGCTCTTAAGTGTTCATTGCTTTAAAGTAATTGCTTGGTATGATCTTTGGATACAGGTTACTATTACAAATGAAAACGGGAGTCCAATGGAGGCTAAAGGTATTTATAGGAAGATTCTTGAAAAGGTTCAGGAAACCTATCGAGGACATTTAAGATCCAAATACTTTGCTTATGATGGGGACAAGACTTTGTTCACCACTGGTGCTCTTCCTAAGAACACAATGGAATTCGAGGTCGTTCTTGAAAACACACCTTCTAGCAGGTGCCAAAATTTCAGTTTGGTTTTAAAACATCTTTACCATGTTGTTCAAGTTTAATGACGAGTTAAAAGAATAAAAAAAGGTTTAATGACGAATTGATAATATTCTCGTTTAATCTACAGAAACAACACTGGAAGTAGTAGTCGGAATGAAACAAATGACGCAGACAGGAAAAGATTAAGGCGGCCAAACCGATCCAAGAAGTTCAAGGTTGAGATAAACTATGCTGCAAAGATACCTATGCAGGCTCTTGCAAACGCTATTCAAGGGATGAAAACAGATAATCTTCAGGATGCTACAAGAGTGTTGGATGTCATTTTGCGACAGAATTCAGCTAGGAAGTAAGTTGGATTTGTGCGGAATGTATTTCTTAAACATTTCATTCTCTGCTTAGTCTTTTAATGCATATCTTAACTTCTCTCTGCAGAGGTTGCCTACTTGTTCGCCAATCATTTTTTCACAACGATCCTCCGAACATTTTACCCATTGGTGAAGGTGTGTTTGTTGCTAGAGGGTTCCACACAAGCTTCAAAACTACTCAGAGAGGCTTATCCTTGAACATCGGTAATTCGTTTTTTAAAAATTTATGTGTTGTAACATTTTGGCTATTAACACTTGATTTTTTTTTTCTGGTTTTCTTCAGACACTTCAGCTACAATGATTGTAAAACCAGGACCTGTTGTTGATTTTCTTCTTGCAAATCAGAATGTGAAAGACCCAAAGGATCTTGACTGGAATAAGGTACACCATCTTATTCTGTACCGGTAGCATTTAACCGATGTTTTACTATCTTTGGTAAGTAAGTACTCACCTGATTTTCTCTCGTCAGGCTAAACGTGCCCTCAAGAATCTTAGAGTTAAGGTTATCCCCTCAAATAGAGAATACAAGATAACTGGACTAAGTGAAGAGCGCTGTAAAGATCAAGTGTATGTAGTGATTTAATGTTTTTTTATTTATTACATGTTTACATCTCTTTCTATGAGTTATTTCTAACGTATCTTTCTTTGATTTATAGGTTTATTCATAATCTTAAAAACGAGAAGGGGGAAGTTTATGGGGTTGAGACAACAGTGTACAAGTACTTCACCGAGTTTCGCCATGTCGAACTGAAATATTCAGGTGACTGTCCTTGCATCAATGTTGGTCATAAGCCAGCGCGCCCAACCTACATCCCCATTGAGGTAACTTTAATGCATTGTTGTATTAACGAAATTTTCATGCACAGCGCTTATTTATGATTTGGTTTTTCTATTTTTTTTTTTTCAGCACTGTGAACTTGTGAGTCTACAGCGTTACACAAAATCGCTTAGTAGTTCGCAGAAGGCTTGTCTGGCAGAAACTTCAAGGCAGAGGCCACCTCAAAGAATGGCTTCACTAACCACTGTAGGTCTTCTTCTTTCCATTATCCTCAAGACTTTGAATTATTTTCTTTCTAATTTTGATTTATGTTAATTCATCTTGAAGGCTCTGGAGAAGAGTAACTATAGTGCTGACCCTGTGTTGCAAGAAACTGGTGTCAGCATTGGCTCTAACTTCATTCAAGTGGGCGGCCGTGTTTTACCAGCACCAAGGGTATGGCCTAACCTTCTTCTCTTGATACATCTTTTCCTTTTTGAATCTTGAAGGTTAAATGTTTTTTTTTTGTTTTTCAAACAGCTGAGAGTGGGCAATGGAGTGGAAATTCAACCTCGCAAAGGGCGTTGGAACTTCATTCATGATGTGCATAGATTTATTATTATTATTATTATTGTTATTATTATTATTATTATTATTATTTATAACTATTTCAAGCTATGATACTACTAACTGTATTTGTTTTTGCAGAAACTTGTTGAGCCAGCCACGGTTGCAATGTGGGTTGTTGTGAACTTCTCTGCTCAATGTGATACGAATAGGCTTGTTTCTGAGTTGATTAGAAGTGGAAAAATGAAAGGAATCGTAAGCTTTCATATGAATTATTACTTTGCCTATAATAGAAACTAAATCATATGCACTTACTCCTTGTCATCCTTCTCTTGTTTTTGCTTTTTCTTCAGGAAGTAGAAGATCCATACAAAGTCGTCTTTAAAGAAGAACCTCGGTTTAGGGATGCGCCAGCTAATATAAGAGTAGAAAAGATGTTCGAGCAGATGAAATCTGAACTAAAGGAAAAGAAACCTCTATTCATTCTCTGCATTCTTGCAGAAAAGAAAAACTCTCCTGTTTATGGTAACTCTATTCTACTGTTCCTGAATATGGTATTTTTTTTTTAATTAATGAATGTAAATGTGAAAGTTGGCCAAAAATAATTTCTAGGTCCTTGGAAGAGGAAGAATCTTATTGAACATGGAATTGTGACTCAGTGTATTGTTCCTCCAAAAGACTTAAAGGATCAGTATATCACCAATGTTCTCCTCAAGATAAATGCCAAGGTGATCCTCTGAACATTGAAGTTTTCAGTCACTTAGAATTACAAGATTTATTATAAAAATACCTTACAAACTCTTTTTCGTTTTATCCACAGCTTGGTGGACTAAACTCCATGTTAGCCATGGAACGCTCACAAGCAATGAGAGTAACACAAGTTCCTACTTTCATTGCTGGGATGGATGTATCTCATGGTTCTCCTGGAACTGATGTACCATCAATTGCTGCGGTAACATAGATTCTCGTTTCTTATGATGTCATCCATATATATATAGAGAGAGTTTAAGTCAAAAGTCTTGTCTATGTTTTGTGTATTTTGAAACCATAGGTTGTGGGGTCCAGAAAATGGCCACTCATCTCCAAATATAGGGCATGTGTGCGCACACAATCTCCGAAAAGGGAAATGATTGATAATCTCTTCAACCGTGTCACCAACGAAAACGGAGAAGTTGTGGATGAAGGAATATTCCGGTTAGCTTCTTGGACTGCTGTGTTGTGTTTATAGCTCGTGGCAGAGCTTTGTCATATTAATCCTATTTTATGCGCTTTTCAGTGAGCTCTTGGAAGACTTTTACTTTAGCTCGGGGAAGAGGGAACCTGAGAACATTATTATTTTCAGGTATATACTTATTAAGGTGATCTTGTGAAAGTGGTATAATAAATTTGTTTGTTAACTCTTGGTTATTAATGTTTACATGTAGGGATGGTGTGAGTGATTCACAGTTCAATCAAGTTCTTAACATTGAATTGGATCAGATGAAGAAGGTATGGATTATGTTTGTTTATATTATGGTCGACATTTATGGACGTGATTTATTTTCTTGGGGTTACATTATTAGGCATGCAAGTTTGTTCGAGATAACTGGAACCCTAGGTTCACAGTGATCATTGCCCAAAAGAACCAACACACCAAGTTCTTCCAGGCTAATAGCAATGACAATGTTCCTCCAGGTAAAAATACATTTGACCTAAGCATGATTTTCTTTGGACCATTGTGGTTTAAAATGAATTGAAACATGTTGCAGGAACAATAGTTGACAGAAGGATCTGTCACCCACACAACAATGACTTCTATCTATGTGCTCATGCAGGAATGATTGTAAGTAATAATTAATATATCCTTGTGGTTGAAGTACTTCTGCTCAAATCCATTATGAATGTAATGAAAACTCTTTTTTATTAATTTGGATGTTTTAGGGAACTACAAGGCCAACACATTACCATGTGCTCTATGATGAGATTAGATTTTCAGCAGATCACCTCCAAGAACTTGTGCATTCTCTATCCTATGTGTAAGCATAGCATTACATCACTTTTTAGTTCTTTATATCTGTTGATGCATGGTGCTAGTGATGTCTACTAAAAACTTGTCTGCTTTGATAATTGCAGCTACCAGAGGAGCACCACTGCCATGTCAGTCGGTAAATTCTCATATCTTTAACATTAATACTGTTGAATTGTTGATAGTTCAGATCTTTAATTGCCTTATCTGAGCTGTTGAATACTAATCTCAAGTTTTTTTTTTTTTTTTTGCAGTTGCACCTATTTGTTATGCTCATTCGGCGGCTGCACAGATGAGAACTGCGATGAAATTTGAGGACATGTCTTTTTCTGAGACAGCATCGATCCATGATGGGATCACGCGATCTGGAGAACCCCCTGTGCCATCCATGCCAAAGTTGAACTCGGCTGTTGCAAGCTCCATGTTTTTCTGCTAAAGGAAACATGCCGCCCATCGCTTTTAATTTTCCTTTGCTTATGACCAACAAAACTTTAAATCTTCTTTTAGATATATGATACTCTTGACGCTCCTTTGTGAGTGTTTTACTGGGCTTTGTTGGAGTGAATGCTTTGATCAAAGTGGTATTTTAAGACATTGTTAGTGTTGTTTCATCTATTTTTGGTATACTGACTCCTCAGGAATATAAATTATTCTGGACTAATAACCCTTAATTTTAAATAATTAAAAATTTTCATGCAGACATTAAAAAGAACAAATTAAATTTTAAATCATTTTTAGGCTTGTCTACTTCTATATTTTTTTTTTTGGGGGTATGCTTATCTTACTCTTTTTTTTGTGTGTGCAAAGCTTAAAATACTTTATTGACGAACAAAATACGAGTTGTCATCAAAATTTCACTACTTGCAATATTTGTTTTCATTGATTAAGAATTTTCCCATACCAATAGGAGTGATTGACTGGGATGTATGAAACGTCTTTAATATTCTTTCTGTTTTTAACTTATAACATTATCTACTTATTGAGTAATAGTTAAAGCTATCCTTATTAATGCACCATGGCTTAATTTTAGTTTCTTACTCCCTTAGTATCAAAAAGTTAAATGTTTTAGTTCTTTTACATATATTAAAAAAATATAAAATTTACCAATGCATTATTTATTATAGATAACAATTCCTATATATTTTAACCAATATAATTTCAAAAATATCTTTTTTTAAAAAAAATCTACAATTTTCATTAAATTATTCATTAAAAATATAAAACATCTTTTGAATAAATATTTTTTCTAAAAATATTAGTCTTTTTGAAACGGAGAGAGTAAATGAGAGCACTGAAGACTCTGAACAAATGCATTGTGGAAGATGAGAAAAATATTCATACCACCTCTTCCAAAAAGAATATTTGCCATCTTTAATGGTTACTAGAGCATTTTCCGCGCTACGCGCGGATTTTATACTATAATTTACTTTACAAAAATTTTCCTTGTATTGTTTTTATTTTATATTTTAAATATTGTTTCATTTCATTCTGTATGTATACATTATAAAATTCACAGATGTTTCCTTGTATTGTTTTTATTTTATATTTTAAGTATTGTTTCATTTCATTCTGTAAATATACATTATAAAAGTCACAGATGTTTCCAAATTTATAGATTGAATTGTTTCATTTAGAACAAAGTTTTAGTATGTAACAATATTATGTGACCTGATATTGTTATTACTCTAATTTTTGAAAAGTTGTATATTCACTTAAAATTGAATTTTAAATGTAAGTAACCAACAAATAAAGTGAATATGAGTTTATTTTTCTCATAATAGAGAAAAGAATGATAGTATGTGACCTCTTCGATTTCAGTTTATTGGTTTTGTAAACTAAATTTTCCTTTCAAAATAAGTAGGGTTTTAAAATTTCACTGCAAATATGATTAACAATATTCTCCCGTTTGTTTTTCTATTGGTTGAAATATGGTTAACTGTAATGGTGTTTTTATTTTAAAAATAAGCAAAATTAAATATTTTCTTAATCTATGTGCATGAACCTAAAGATACAAATTTAAATGAAACAGAGAGTTTATATAATAAATTTTAGGTGTTAGATTATTCTCTTTATCATTTCTGTTATTAAAATTAGTAATATTTTATGTTTTTAATTTAAATTGAAAGATTTTAAATTGTTGCTGTTTATTCAAAATGATTCAATTTGTTGCCTAATGAATTTCGTAAAGACTTGATATGTTGTAACAACTATAATTTTTAATTTCTGTTTCTATTAGGTGAAGTTGATAAATAATAGAGAACTTCTCTCAAATATCCATTTTAAAATATCTGTCATAAAAATAGTCTTCAAAAAATAAAATAACCAAAATAGTCTTTTTTACTTTGAATTTTTTTAATATTTCTTTTTTTAAAAAAAAAAAATTTAAAACCCTAAACCCAAACTCTCAGCTTGTAATTCTAAATCCTAAGTCTATATTAGTTAACTCAAGGGTATAAATGTGTATTTACATTTTAATAAAAATTTATTTTAATCATTTTTCTCCTTGAAAACTATTTTTTTGAAAATAAATTAAAATTGATTATCCAAAGAAATTTTCTCTACATAATATCTTTGGTTGGTAATGGTGTTTCTTTGCATATGTTTTTTTTTTTTGTAATTTTGTAGAAAACTTGCCAATCTCTTTCCCAAAATCACATACAAAGTTTTGATTCCTTCTTTGATAATAGAAAGTTAAGAACTTGTATTTTTGGTGAAATAAAGTTATATTTGTTTTGGTAATGATTTTTTCATAGTGATATCTTAAATTTGTGAATTTCACTTTTTTGTTGTTGTTGTTGTTGTGTCTTATATTTATATTTCTATAGTTTTTTAAGCAATGCTTATTCAAACTGGTGTTACTTATTTGTTTGTATGTTTTTTTTAATATATGAGAATTATGGTATTGTAATAGGTTTTGGATTTTTTTTGGATCTCAAACACTATATATTCATCAAATATGAAAATAATTATATTTTTTTAATTCTTCGTATCTATATTTTTGGTTGTTTATTACTGGTCATTTGTCATTTTATGTTTTTTTCTTTTGAAAAAGGGCTTTGTCATTTTATGTTTTTTCTTTTGAAAAAGGGCTTTGTCATTTTATGTTACTTTATAATTTTATCTCCTTTTATATAATTTTAATATTTTAGTTTTACATTTTCTTTAAAGATTGTTATATATATATATATATACATATATAAGTATTATGATAATGTTTGTGTATTATATATAGAGAACTAAAATTTAATGTTCATCAAACAAAATTTATGCAGTAGGAAGTTTTATTTTATTTTAGTTAAGAGTGTGACTTTGATGTAATAAATTATTTAGCATAAGTACAAAGTTTATACTTTGGGCTTATATTTTAATGATCGATTAAGTTATTACTTATCATATTTAAACTTATTCAGTATAATTTATTGCATATGTTTTGGATAAATTCTTTTATCCACTAAAATATTTATTTCACTCACATATTATGTTTGTTAGTTAGGCGTAAATCTTGAACTGTTTGAATTATTGAGTATTATTTTACATTCCTAGTCAATATATAAATAAAAGCAATTTTATTTAGCCTTTTCTAGGAATAATCAAAATTTTCATATCAATACAAAACCAGGCAAAAATCAAATAAACTGAGAATTCATAAACTACATAATCCCTTTGTTCTTCTCCGTCCTCCGACATTAGCATGATCAAAACATGCAACAAATTTTTCTTATTTTTCAAGTGCAGCATTCACCAGACTTTTCTTGTCTCTTACAATTGTTCAAAAAACAACAAAGTGAATGTCTATATAATTTACCTATCCAAGCCTTGGGTGAATATTTTCTTCTTGCCATATTATGTTTCAGTCCCTAACATTAGAACAAAATAAAATAAGCAAAGATGATATTTATCTATATCTCAATATACTCTTATGGAATACTACTTGATTAAGAACATTATTGATTCCTTTNTGATCCTAGTAATCAGTCCTTGAGGACTCAAAAACTGACTCAAATAATTACATTTTCTTTTATCATTTGAAGAAATTAATTTATATAATTAGTTTAAGTTCTTAGAATGTATTTTTCTTAGTAGCTTGTTACTCTGTTTGATTATATGGAGTTTTTGAACCCTTCGATTTCAGAACTTTAGCTTACAAAAACTATAAAACAAACACACATCACGTCACCCCATTACAGCATACAAAAACAAAATTGTATTGAACATACATACTGACGTCATGCCATTGCAGAACATAATATAAAGTAGCAGCAAAGAAGAGTTGGTCATAACTTAAACATATTCCAGCAAACAGAATTTATCATGTTGGAACAACAATCTCTGACTCTGGCAGTAACTGAAAAGTGAAAACTAAACAACATAAACATTGTGTCCGATCTCTGACTCTGGTAGTAACTGAAAAGTGAAAACTAAACAACATAAACATTGTGTCCGACCGTAGGACAATGATTTTGTGATTCCTGAGCTTGATTCTTCAGATTATCAACTTTGCTTTCTGCTTCTCCAAGTTTTGACAGCATCTTATGAGATTGATTCCCAGCTAGTGAATTCTCTTCTTCGATCAGTTGGATCCTCTATAACATCAAGTGTTCCGATGAGCTTGTTGTCCTGAAGATACCTGCAGCCCAGCCACATTAGATATAGAAGCATTGATAGTAACAATTTGTATTCACTGCTTCACATTCAAAAAGCTATGAAACTTACAGTATCTTGAAAGCCGCTAAGTCTCCCATGGAGGGAGGTAAACGCCCCTCTAGTACGTTTGAAGATAAGTCCCTGCATTAGAAACTAAACATGTAAGTGAAAGACCTTGGGAAGAGAGAGTAAAGAAAAGGAGAAAACATACAGTTTTGTCATTCTGGAGCCTCGCAGACAAATCTAATGCTTACTCTAACAGTGATGCAAGTCACTCTAAGTAGAAAGAACTAAAAATCTAGTGTTTTAAGTTCACTGAACCAATATATTAACAGACAAAGCAAAACCAAAAGTGGAAACTTGCAGACATGAGAAGAGAGACTATTACCATCTCGTGGATTGGTGACTCCAGCTGAGAACGGCATTGTCAAAGCTAAAACAGAGAGAACAAATAACACTTGTCTTCTTGTAAAGATCATAACTTTAGAATCCACTAAAGCTTGGAAAACAAAGAGAACTTGGAAATCCATAACACCTAAACACAACTTGTTCGGAACAAAATATTTGTGTCCATGAGAGTCTAGTAAAACAACATAGTATTGAAATAAGCAACAGACACAGTCATTGTTATTCCTCGTTACCTCTCAATCAGTTCTCTCATCCAATGCCCACACGGACACACGTATGCAAAGGATCCTTTGCCCTGGTCAGATTAGGAGTACAATGTCAAACAACAATGCAGAATTATGCATTTTACGGTTTCTAGAATAAAATATGTTTTACCTGCAACTTTGCTTATTTCTCAAACTTATGCATTTGCTTTTGAGATGTTCTTTCCAGTAGATGCAGTAGTCTACCTGAAAGTGTTGAGTTACCGGAATCAACATGTATAACCTACAATCAGACTGAAACTATGAGTAATCAACATGATAAAACCCCAGTAATTAGTTGCCAGAAATCCAAGAAACTCATGATGGAAAGATTAAGTTGACTTAGGGTATCTGAATCTTGATATACAGTATAAGCATCCACCCTTCTGGCTTGTGCTTTAATTGATAGATCAGTATGAACCACAACTTGAACCAAAAAATGCAATCGTGAAGATCAAATCGCATACAAAAACATAAGCCCCAAAAAAAAGAAATAGAATTGCATCTATAATATTAGAGAAGATCGAACCTTTAATTCTGTTTGAAAGCGTTTCTGCTGCCGACTCGATTTTTGGTGGATTTAGGATTAGATATAGCGCTTTATATAGGAAGAGGATCAACAGGAAGTGAAACGAAGAATCAAGAAGAGTTTATAGATCATCACTGATTGATCAGAAACTGAAAATTATGAGTTTGGAGACGAACACGAAGTGGAAGAGTCCGACAAAATATAGACTCTCAAAGTCTCAGAGGAAAGGTGACATGGCAACTTAGACCCTTTTGATTGGGTGAATATTTCTGCCCAATTGGAGTGGTTAATATCGATTATACCCTTAATGAATAAAATATATAAATTAGTCAAAAATAAAATATTGTTTAATAAATAATCTTTTTAGTTTGCGTCTGCTTCAGTATTAATAGAGTAGGAAGCTGGAAGCGCAAGGTTTTATTGAACCACCAAACAAACCTTCTCCTCCTCCTTAAACACCTCTCTCTCTCTCTCTCTCTCTCTCTCTCTCTCTCTCTCTCTCTCTCTCTGCGTTGCTTTAGGGTTTTGTCGTGCTCTCCCATTTCCTCTTTCCATCTCTGTGAAGAAGCAGGTATATTTTTCTTCCTCAAGATAGCTCAATGTATTCATATTATCTTTCTGCCATAATTTTTTGCTTTCAACTATATTATTTTGTCTATCATCTTTGTTCTTCGTTTATCGCTGGGAACTAAGTGATTTTCTGTCATATCTCATCGTTTTTAGCAAATAATTTCCATCATATATATGTTGATCTTTCTCTGAGCAGCTCTGGTTTGTTTCTACCACTATTTGATCTATCTGTTAAATAAATATAAAAAAGTAAACGTTGGCGTGTGTTCTTGTTCTATTAAAAATTTGATTTGTAATTTCCGAGAAAATTTTCTGGTTTTTGTTTTGTTCCTTGGCTGCTCTGTGATTTGTTGGCCTTGGCTTTTTTGCTAGTGGCCTTTCTTATGTCATAGATATTCATGTGTACGTAGATCTCTTCTTCATTATTCTCCATCTTTTAATGTTTTATATCTTGAATCTTCCTGTATGAGGTGGTTTGATACATGCTGATATGGTTTATATCATTATTCTTCAATCTTTTAACGCTAATGGGTTTTACTTTCTAAATGAACTGAAAATTTCTGATATTTCTGATTTGAACAAACTGTTTTGCTTGAGGAATATATTGCCTTCATTCTTTTATCATTGCCATAAACAATTGTACATTAGTGTGTTGGATAATTCTGAACTTTTGGAACCTTAAGATCTTTAATATGTTAGATAAACACACAAAAAAAAATTTAGAAATAAGAAAAGAAAGACTTCTACTTTTTTTGGACAAAATTAAGTTTGTGTTTTCTATATCCACATGTTAAAGGGAATTGCATTTTTTATTAAATTAAATTTGTGTTTTCCATATCCCAGACATTAAAGAAAATTATGTTTCACTATAAACTAGATATGGACCCGTGCGTTGCACGGGTTTTGATTAATGTTTTATAAGTTTAATAAAAAAAATAAAAATAAGAAACTTTTTTTTATTGAAATTGAATGTTTTTATATATGGTGTGTCGAATTCATTTTAGGAATCAAAATTCGGTTTTTTTTACATAAGTTTTGGTTAAACTTCAATTCAATAATCATGGCACATATACGTAGAGCTAGAGAAAATAAGCGAGACCTGAAAGTTCAAATTAAACACAATCTAAAGAAATGTAAATTAGAGTGAAATACAAAGAATTTGAAAGGTGAATCAAGCCAATCAAGTATATGATAATGGAATATACTTTATTAAACTCTTAGTTTTGTCTTTATTAATTTGCTTTTATTCGTCTTACTCAAACATATTATGAAGTTTCAATTGTAATTTAGTAATGCTTGTGTTGTCATTGTAAGGTCTCGATTTTTCTGTGCTTTTATCATTTATATACTTTGGTAATAGAATTTCTCTATTTTAGAACAAAGTTTATAGATGAATCTATAAGTGAATTGCAAATAATCTTAGTTGTATAGGTAATAGAAAACATTATATATCAGCATTTTATCATCTAATTTAGAGGTAATAAAACTATTAATACCTTATGAAATTTTATCCTGTTTTGATTCTTGTAGCCACAAAAATATATGTGTTTTATAAAAATTTTGTTTTAAATTCTCGATTGTATGAATAATCTTTTATAAAAATATATTGTATTAGTACATGTTTTAATAGACATGAAAAAAGAAACAATCATTAAAAAGATTTTTATTTTAACATGATTGTGACATGTGGCAATTACATATCTAAGATTATGACATATGTTAAATCATAATTTTCCTCTTTTTTTTTACTTAAATACTTAATCTAAACGAATTTATTTTTTCTTACAAATTTCCTTCTTAAAAATACACTTAAACTAAACAAATTTAAATCATAATAATTTCCATCATCGACTATTACTTCAATTTTGTAACTGGAGAAAATTGATTAGTTTTAAACTTTAATAATAGATCAGTATATATCGATATATTTATTTATTTGTAACTATATATTAGTTTTAAACCTTATAGATAAATATCAATGTGTATCAATGATATAAAACAATTATAGTTTTGTTAACGGTGGTTAATTATATTAATACAAATTGTGAAAGAAATTACATAAGCGTTCTACAGTCAACAACTGTACGCATTTTATAAGGATTCACGTCTACATCCCCATAAGTTTTACACAGGACTCACACCATACATATTTTTTGTACAATGCTAAAATTATCTTATAAACATTTTGTCCAGTAAACGGATAATTTTCCTTCTCACAAACTCAAAACATGGACCTGATAATGTAAAAAAATCAATCTTTAGTCAAACCTAGACCAATGGGCTTCCATAAAAATAGTTAATTATATGAAAATAATAAAAAAAATTTACAGTTCTTTTTTTGTTTGGAATTTTAAAGAAAATTCTTTATTTTAAACCAATGCCTACTGATTTTGTAATTATCTTAACCCATGTTTTTTTGACTTTTCAAATATAATTTTATTTTAAATAAATACTACAACTAAAATAAATTTATAGACTTCTAATTATTTTAAACACATATTATATTTGGTAGTGCAAATAATATTCTACAACTAAAATAAAATTATAATAAATTTTGGTTTTAGAATTCTCTTTGTAAAATCTAAAATACTTTTATATTTATAGGAATTTTTAAGATTTTATTTAGTATATAAAACTTAAAATACTGTTTTTCTTTGTAATTATTTTAAACCCATGCTTAGGAAAATAAATACTAATAATATATCTAATTTTACATATCTAAGATTATGACATATGTTAAATCATAATTTTCCTTTTTTTATACTTAAATACTTAATCTAAACAAATTTATTTTTTTCTTACAATTTTCCTTCCTAAAAATACACTTAAACTAAACAAATTTAAATCACAACTTTCCTTTTTAAATACTCAAACTAAAAACGAATTTCCTTTTTTCTTACAATTTTATTTATAAAAAATACTCGAACTAAACAAATTTATTTTTTTCTTAAAATAATTATTTAATAGTAATTTTTCCTTTTTAAGTTAAAAAAAGGAATTCATAATTATCATTTTTTTAGGATTTGTAAAAAGGAAAATTAAAATACAAAGAATATTTACTTTTTACTATTAAATTAAATTTACTTTTTTCTGAAAAATAAATATTTAATAGTAATTTTTCCTTTTTAAGTTAAAAAAAGGAATTCAAAATTTTTCTCAGAAATAGATATTAATAGTGTACGTTTTACAAAATATTGTAAACAAAAAAAAACGATATTAATATTAGTATTTATTTTCCTAAGCATTGGTTTAAAATAATTACAAAGAAAAACAGTATTTTAAGTTTTATATACAAAATAAAATCTTAAAAATTCTTATAAATATAATAGTATTTTAGATTTTACAAAGAGAATTCTAAAACCAAAATTTATTATAATTTTATTTTAGCTGTAGAATATTATTTGCACTGCCAAATATAATATGTGTTTAAAATAATTAGAAGTCTATAAATTTATTTTAGTTGTAGTATTTATTTAAAATAAAATTATATTTGAAAAGTCAAAAAAACATGGGTTAAGATAATTACAAAATCAGTAGGCATTGGTTTAAAATAAAGAATTTTCTTTAAAATTCCAAACAAAAAGAGAACTGTAAATTTTTTTTTTATTATTTTCATATAATTAACTATTTTTTATGGAAGCCCATTGGTCTAGGTTTGACTAAAGATTATTTTTTTTACATTATCAGGTCCATGTTTTGAGTTTGTGAGAAGGAATATTATCAGTTTACTGGACAAAATCTTTATAAGATAATTTTAGCATTGTACAAAAAATATGTATGGTGTGAGTCCTATGTAAAACTTATGGGGATGTAGACGTGAATCCTTATAAAATGCGTACAATTGTTGACTGTAGAACGCTTATGTAATTTCACTTATGGGGATGTAGACGTGAATCCTTATAAGATGCGTACAATTATTAACTGTAGAACGCTTATGTAATTTCTTTCACAATTTGTGTTAATATAATTAACCACCGTTAACAAAACTATAATTGTTTTATATCATCGATACACATTGATATTTATCTATAAGGTTTAAAACTAATATATAGTTACAAATAAATAAATATATCGATATATACTGATCTATTATTAAAGTTTAAAACTAATCAATTTTCTTCAGTTACAAAATTGAAGTAATAGTCGATGATGGAAATTATTATGATTTAAATTTGTTTATTTTAAGTGTATTTTTAAGAAGGAAATTTGTAAGAAAAAACTAAATTCGTTTAGATTAAGTATTTAAGTAAAAAAAAGGAAAATTATGATTTAACATATGTCATAATCTTAGATATGTAATTGCCACATGTCACAATCATGTTAATTAGTAACTTTGAAAACCAAGCTTTATATAATAAGATATAGAGTTCCCTAAGAGATATAAAAAGTTGTTATTATAATTCTGCCTTTTTCTGATCTTCTGAGTTTTTCTTCCCTACACAGATATGAGTTTTGATAAAGAAAAAGGGCTACCACCTCCTCCACCTGTCGTTCCACCAAACATTGTACCAGAACTGGAGCCTATCAAAAAGAACACTCTTCTTCCAATGGCCCGAAAAGGCAGCGGGACCAAAGGAGTAAGGACACCTCTTCTTACCAATCACTTCAGAGTCAACTTCAACAACTCAAACGGCCACTTCTTTCATTACAGTGTATGTATACTTTGTTTCCTATTTGTATCACTGTTTTCTTTTGTGACTATCCTTTAGGCATTAATATTTATTGCTTGCTCTCTCTTTGTCTTTTGATACAGGTTGCGATTACATATGAAGATGGACGTCCAGTGGAGGCTAAAGGAATCGGCAGAAAGATTCTTGAAAAAGTCCAAGAAACTTATCGAACAGATTTAGGATCCAAATACTTTGCTTATGATGGTGAGAAGACTCTGTTCACTGTTGGTCCTCTTCCTAGCAACAAACTAGACTTCTCTGTCGTTCTTGAAGACATACCTTCTAGCAGGTAACCACATTTCAGTTTCTCTCTACTTGTTTTTTAAAAAAAAAACATCTTCACAATGATGAAACTGATAGTCTTTATTTACAGAAATAGAGATGGTAGCCCGAATGAATCAAATGAAACAGACAGGAAAAGATTGAGACGACCACATCAATCTAAAAAGTTCATGGTTGAGATAAGCTATGCTGCAAGAATCCCCATGCAAGCTATTGCAAGCGCTCTTCAAGGAAAGGAAACTGATTATCTTCAAGATGCTATAAGAGTGCTTGATGTTATTCTGCGCCAGAGTGCAGCTAGGCAGTAAGTTTTTTTTTTCTTGAATGTCTTTCAAAAACCTTCTTGTTTTTTTTTTGGCAATTCTAATTTTTCTCTTTTTCAGGGGATGCCTACTTGTTCGCCAATCATTTTTTCACAACGACGTCCAGAACTTTGTTCACATCGGTGGAGGTGTCACTGGTGTCAGAGGCTTCCACTCAAGCTTCAGAACTACTCAGGGAGGCTTGTCCTTGAATATAGGTAATTCTCTTTTTCTGAATTTAATGGGTATTAAACTCTTCTTTGTAAAATTCTTGATTTTATTCCGATTTTTCTTTTAGACACTTCAACCACGATGGTAGTACAACCAGGTCTTGTTGTTGATTTCCTTCTTGCAAATCAGAATGTGAAACACCCAAAGTATCTTGACTGGGATAAGGTACGTACATCATGATCATCTTATTATTGTGCTCATCTTTGAGAAATACTAAACTGAATTTTTTCCCTCAATCAGGCTAGACGTGCTCTCAAGAATCTTAGAGTTAAGGTTATCCCTTCAAATAGAGAATACAAGATAACTGGACTGAGTGAAGAGCGCTGCAAAGATCAAATGTATGTAGTGATTTGATGTTTATGTTCAAATCTTTCTTTTTCTAACGTATCTTTCTTTGATTTATATAGGTTTACTAGGAAGTCTAAAAAGGAGAATGGGGAAGTTGAGGAAGTTCAGACAACAGTGTACAAGTACTTCACCGAGTTTCGCGGTCTCGAACTGAAATATTCAGGTGACTTTCCTTGCATCAATGTTGGTAAGCCAAAGCGTCCAACTTACTTCCCCATTGAGGTAACTTTAGTGCATTGTTGTTTGTATTCCAGAAATTTTCATGCACAGGGTTGTATGTCTAATTCTAGTTTGTTTTTTCTTAATAATATTTTCAGCTCTGTGAACTTGTGAGTCTACAGCGTTACACAAAAACGCTTAGTAATCTTCAGAGGGCTTCCCTTGTAGAAAAGTCTAGGCAGAGGCCAGCTGAAAGAATGGCTTCACTAACCAATGTTGGTCTTCTTATTTCTATTATTTCTATGAGACTGAAGTTTTTTTTTTTAATTTATGTTATAATTCATTCTTGAAGGGTCTTAAGAAGAGCAACTATAATGCTGACCTTATGTTGCAAGAAAGTGGTGTCAGCATTGGCTCTAACTTCACCCAAGTAGATGGCCGTGTATTACCAGCACCATTGGTATGGTGTACCTTGCTTCCTCTTGCAGTATCATTTCCTGTTTCCTGATTCTTGATTCTTGAAGGTTAAATGTTTTTTTATCTCTGTTCTTGTTTGCAAACAGCTGAGAGTGGGCAATGGACAGGAGTTTCAACCTAGCAAAGGGCGTTGGAACTTTAATCATAAGGTGCATAGATTATTATTATTATTATTATTTTTTATTACTATTTCAAGCTATGATACTACTAAGTGTATTTGTTTTTGCAGAAACTTGTTGAGCCAGCCACGGTTACAGAATGGGCTATTGTGAACTTCTCTGCTCAATGTGATACGAATAGGCTTGTTTCTGACTTGATTAGATGTGGAAAAATGAAAGGAATTGTAAGCTTTCATATGGCTTACTGATTGCCTATAGAAAGTCAAATCATATACAATACTCATTATATCATCGTTCCCTTATTTTTGGTTTTTTTCTTCAGAATGTGAAACCTCCATACGATGTCTTTCAAGAAAATTCTCGGTTTAGGGATGCACCAGCTCATATTAGAGTAGAAAAGATGTTCGAGCAGCTGCAATATGAACTCAAAGAAAAAAGGAAAATTACAAAGAAGCCTATGTTCCTTCTTTGCATTCTCGCAGAAAGGAAAAACTCTCTTGTTTATGGTAACTCTATCCTACTATTCTTGAATATGGTCTTTTTTTAAATAAAAATAAAACTAATGAATGTAAATGTGATTTTTTCAGGTCCTTGGAAGAAGAAGATTCTTGTTGAACTTGGAATTGTGACTCAGTGTATTGCTCCTAGCTACTCCTAAAATAAATGATCAGTATATCACTAATGTTCTCCTCAAGATAAATGCCAAGGTGATCTCTCAAAGATTGAAGTTTCAGTCACTTAGAATTTCAAGATTGATCAGTGACAAAAAAAAAGAATTTCAAGATTGATTATAAAAGACCTTACAAACTGATTTTTCTATTTTGTATATGCAGCTTGGCGGGCTAAATTCCATGTTAGCTATGGAGCGATCACGAGCAATGATGCCTTTAGTAACACAAGTTCCTACCTTCATTATTGGAATGGATGTGTCTCATGGTTCTCCTGGATCTGATGTACCATCAATTGCTGCGGTAACATTGATTCTCCTTTCTTATGATGTTATCCATATATATATAGAGAGTTTAAGTCAAAAGTCTTGTCTATGTTTTGTGTGTTTTGAAACCATAGGTTGTGGGGTCCAGAGAATGGCCACTCATCTCAAAATATAGGGCATGCGTGCGCACACAATCTCGGAAAGTGGAAATGATTGATAATCTCTTCAAACCTGTCACTAACGAAAAGGGAAAACTCGTGGATGAGGGAATATTCTGGTTTGACTTCTTGGACTACTCTTGTGTTGTGTTCATAGCTTGTGGCAAAGCTTTGTCATATTAACCCTATTTTATATGCTTTTCAGGGAGCTCTTGAGGGAGTTTTACTCAAGCTCGGGGAGTAGGAAACCTGAGCACATTATCATTTTCAGGTATATTAAATATCATGTGAAAGTAGTGTCTAAATACATTTTTGTTAACTTTTGGTTATTTATTAATGTTTAAATCTAGGGATGGTGTGAGTGAGTCTCAGTTCAGTCAAGTTCTCAACTTTGAATTGGATCAGATGAAGCAGGTATGGATTATGATTGTTTATTTAGTGTAAGTTGGACATTTATGGACTTGATTATTTAATTATTAGGCATGGAAGTTTGCTGAGGAAAATTGGCAACCAAAGTTCACAGTGATCATTGCACAGAAGAACCACCACACCAAGTTCTTCCAGGCTGATTTGCAGGCTCATGGCCCTGACAATGTTCTTCCAGGTAAAAAAAAATTCCATTTGACCTGAGCATGATTTTCTCTTTGGTCATTGTGGTTATAATGACTTGAAACATGTTCCCAATGAAACGTGCAGGAACAATAATTGACAGCAAGATCTGTCACCCACGCAACAATGACTTCTATCTCTGTGCCCATGCTGGATTGATTGTAAGTAATCAGTATGAATCTTGATTATTGAATTGAATAAAAACTTTTAATATTTATTTGGATGTTGTAGGGAACTACAAGGCCAACGCATTACCATGTGCTCTATGATGAGATTGGATTTTCGACAGATGACCTTCAAGAACTTGTGCACTCTCTATCCTATGTGTAAGCATTATTACATCACCTTTTTTTTGTTCTTTATCTGTTTATGGTGCTACTATAATCTTTGTCTGCTTTGATATTTTTTGTAGCTACCAGAGGAGCACCACTGCCATCTCAGTCGGCGAATTCTCATATCTTTTCAACGTTACTACTGCTGTTTTTTTTTCATTAATTCTGATTATGTTTAATAATCTCTTAATGCATGATGGTTACACTATGTGCAATTATCTCAAGTACCATTTGGTTTGATCGCAGTTGCACCTGTTTGTTATGCTCATTTGGCGGCTGCACAGATGGGAACCGTGATGAAGTTTGAGGACATGTCTTTGTCTGAGACATTATCGAGCCATGGAGAGATCACGATACCTGGAGCAGTCCCTGTGCCACCAATGCCAAAGTTGCACGAGGATGTTGCAAGCTCCATGTTCTTCTGCTGAAGGAGAAACGTCCAGCCACAATGCATTTTTCCTAATTTGCCTAATTACCAACAAAACTTTTGAAATGCCTTTTAAGTGTCTATACTCTGGGTCTATGCCTCATCTGTGTTTTTTTTTCATCGCCCCTTTTGTCGCTGATGCTCTTTATGTTCCTTGTGAGTGTTTTGCTGGGCTTAGTTGGTGTGAATATTAAATATTTTATGCGTTTTAATCAAATCGGGTATTTAGAGACGTTTTAGTTTTCATCGCTTCTACTGTTTTTTCATCATGCTATCTATGATTCGGATTCATTTTGAGATGTAGTCAACAGGATGCAGAAAAAAACATTGCCAACAATAATAAGCTACAAGAAGACAAAATTTACAAAACAAACAAAAATGTATGTTCTAAATAAAAATATCAAGTAAAACAAACATCTCTTATTGTTTTCTACAGAGACAACTAACCACCTCTCTTTTTTTTTTTTTGTTCTTTTTCCAAAATTGAGTAATTAGAAAAGGACCTATATGTACAAAAAACAGAGATTACAACTCTTGGGGGGAGAGGGCGAAACTCTGTGTAGATGAGCGCACGCCTCTTCACTCAAAGCTCTTTTTGACTTGCAGAGATCCTGCACACCCAAACTATGTTTAAAAACGAAAAAAAAAATCTCAGAAAAGAAAACACCAACAAGGAAAAATATCCTTGAAAACTAAGAGTGATGGCTTCACTTGGTCGGTCTCTTCCCTAGAAGAAGAGATGCACAAAAATTTTATGTCAAGGGTTTAAGGATCATTTGCTTAGTGGTAAGCAGCAGCCAAATGATATGTTTCTGCTCTTCTCTATCTCTTCAAGTCATCAGTGAGACTTGTTTTCTTTCTGGCTGGTGGCTGGATCCTTGGCTCGGAAATCGTCTAAGCTGCGGTATTCTTCCTTCAGTAGCTTCTCTAGCTCAGGGTGCTTCTTTATCGGTTCTTTTTGGCCTCGGTAATGGTGGAACGCCCTGCACAATAGAAATCCTTCGTCTTTAGAGACATCTCCAAAAATCAACTAAACGTTTTCTATAAAAACTAAAATAGGGTAAATATTTTCTTGAGACGTCAAAGAAAATCACATTCCATAACGATATGTTTATCCCAGAGAGGGAAGAGCTCTTACCAATATTTCTCCAAACCATATAGGTTTCCTTTGTGGTAGAAGTCAAGCGTTTGCTGCTCAAAGTCCTTGTAAAGTTCCTCATCGAATTGCTTCTCCAGACCATAGCTGTAGACATAGAGGAGAGCAATAATGGTGAGACTGAGTTTAATCTAGAGAGCTTATCCGCAGTGAAATAGACAGAACGGATGCAAGTCTGAGATGCGGTTATTACCTATAAAACCTAAAGAGACATTCCAACCCGTAGTTGTAATTGCCAGCTGCATCCTCAAGAGCAAACTTCTGAAAATCTTCGTACATGGATGGAACAAACGTTTCTCTGAGGAAATACGACCAGAATCGGTACAGATGATTCATTTCCTGAAGACAAACATCCACGATTCAGACGCATTCCAAGAAAACAGGTCTAGGATATCTAATCGGCAGAGAGTCAAGGTCGACATAAATCTCTACCTCACTGCATCCGCTTCCCAGCTTCTTTCTTTCGTTTAAGCACCGCTTGCGATACTTCAAGTACCTATGGGTAGAATTGGAAAAAAGGAGTGATAATAGAGCTAATCAAGATACAAACTTATCCTAACTAAAGTAATGCTCCGTACAATACACTCAGGTTGTATAACCAAGTAAATGTACTCACTTTTCTTGCTTAAACCCATTCTCTTCAAGCAGTTGGTGGCTCGGATGTTGAAAATGTGGAAAGGACTTTGGTAAAGAGCCCACAGGTGGACTGCTGCCAGCAAGAGAGAACTGTGGTGATGAACTCAGTTTTGAAAGCCTGTGGCTGTTAATGTCACACGAACACAATTATTAAAAACATGACAAAGGCAAAAAAATTTAATAAAAAGTTGGTAAATCATAAAATTGCTAGGTTACTAACCCATGACTGTCGGGTGGTGTAGAACCATAGAAAAATCCAATGGAGCTACTAGGTGGACTTTCAGAAGCAGCCCCATGGTTCCTTATGTTGCCGGAGAAGAACCTCCGTGCATGGGACATCTGATGTTTGTGGGTTCCCTTACTTTGCTTCTTCCTAATACTATGCTCTTCACCTCCATTATTTGCTGCAGAATTTTCGCCTAGTTTAGTATTCAGTCCTCCCCCTTTCACTTTTCCATCTCTGCTATCTAAATGAGAATTGTTCTTCTTACGACCAGGTCGATTCTTTTTCAGCTCCTGTTTCACCACGTTGGTGTTTAGAACTAAGACTCCATAAAAGGTAAAACTATATCGTTCTGTTAAAAAAAAAACCTAACCTGCTCAAAGTAGAAAAGACCATCGTTTATTGTGGAGGCAAGCTCCTTCGGAATATTTTTAGCTTTCGTCCCACTGATTCCAGTGCCGTCACTTCTGCCACTATTCTGTCCAGCATACAACGGAATATGAGAACTCCACCATCAAAGAGTTCAGGTAAATACATAATGAGTTCCATGTAATACCTGGGTAACAATTACAAGTTTCTGAATATCATGATCATCAACAGCTATATCATCATCTTCATCCTCAATTCTACAAATATTCAAAATAAACCAAAATATAAAAACTCCAATCAGTGTTTTAAATGGTACTCTCCGACGATGTACTGACAAAAGAGAGGTCACTTAACATTTGAAAAAAGGTCAGTTTTTGGTTGTGTTTCGCGACATATTCATTTCTCAAAGTGGGGGATGAGGGGAAGTTAGTGAGTGGAATGATTCTAATAAATCTCAACGTAAATTGGGAAATTAGAAGATACAGTTAGTTGAGTATTTCGTGATTCTAAGTTAGTTTTTATAAGTTAGCCAAGAAGATTTTCGAAGAGTTTGTTAGGGTTTCGAAGAGGTGACAAGATTTGGTCAAAGTCTCGTCGAAAAGAAAACAAACCTCGCCATATGGTCTAGGCGAGGGCTTTTTGTGGATTGCACCACACCTTCGAGACCAAGGTGCTCTAGGCCGCCTCATTGTGCCATAGCGCTTAAAGAGATATTTAAAACACATAATCCAATACTATATATGCAGTTTCAGGTTCATATCCAAAAGGGAATATCGAAAAAGAGTGATGAAACCAATATCAAGAGTAATTAACTCGTGCACTACCTTTTGCACATAGAAAGACCACTCTTTCTAGGGCTTTTATGCTCCTGATCCATTTCCTCATCAAGCAAGAAAGTGTTCGAAAAATCGCTTGACAAGACATCCATATTTCTTTGTTCACTTGATGGTGATTTCAGGGTATCACTTCCATAAACGTTGGTTGTTGATGACTGAGCTCCATGTACCTAGCACAGAAAAGCTATGAACTGGAACAAAAATGGGCAGTTTTACAGAATCTCTCTAATTAAGGGAAACAAGCCTCTACCTCTGAAGAGCACGCTGTAGGCTTTGAAGTATCCTTTGACTGCTTTTCAGAGTTATCTCTGCTTGTTGTACTCTCTGGGGAATCTCTGTCATCGTCTCCAATTTTTTCCTCAGAGGCTGACCTTTTAGATGCAGGAACCCACTTAGACCACTCGTCTCGCCTGCGTACCATCTCACCCTATAAAAGTACCAGAATTTCATGTTATGATCAAACAGAAAAGTGAGATGATAAAAGCAAGTTGGCTATGGTAGTCTTACCAGCACTTCAACAGAATTAGAATATCCCAAAGCATAGACTATAAACTCTACATCCATGGTCATCATCTTGACCTGTAATCAAGAGTAAAAACAAATAAATTAGAAGTAGCACAATATGGTAAAACGCATATGGAAAAAATAGACTAATGCAAAAGAAAGCAAGTCAAGCTCATGTTACGAGTTTTACCCTTTTGAAGTCGGCTATAGTTTTTATGGGAACCCATCCTTGTTTATCCATCAAGGAAATGAGGTACTTATCACCCTGAAGATTTTCATCACTGAAAAAAGGAATAAATACACATTGTGAGCACAGCAAGATGAGGTGCCATCCTATTAACTAGCAAAGATGGACTCAACGCATGGAAATACTCCAAGAAATTCTCAGAGGCCCAGTAAAGGAGCCATCTGAATATAGTTTTAAAAGCACAAAACATAAGACTAGATGTAGAAAGCGAAACTTGCCTGAAATAGTATTCTATTTGTCTTATGACTCTATCCTTTAAGTCGGGTTTTTCTGGAGACAGTGCTGGAGGACCCTGGTTAACAGGGTATGGACCAAAACGTGGAGGATAACCTCTTAAAGCTCCAGGGGGTGGAACCGGCATATAATATACAGGTCCTATGTCAGATCAAGAGGAAGAAAAAAAAACAAGAAATCATGTTAAATCACGAGTAATACAATTAAATTCCAACACCCGCTATCAGCCAACCCCATTTTAGAACACCTTGCCAAAGAATCAATATCTTACCGGGAAAACCTGGACCCGGACCAACCATGAACCCAGGAGCCTGTCCCATATACGGAGGCCTCATGAAATTCCTCGGTCCAGCTCCATGTGGCATGTTTCTGGGGTCAAACCCCCTCTGATGCTGCCAAGGCTGTCCAGGGTGGTCTCCTTGAGGAGCTGGCAAAACAGGTGGAAGAGGGGAAGCATGAGCTTTCTTCTCATTGCCAGCCTCAGGAACAGGAGCTCCAGGAACCGTGTAGGGAGGATAAGTAACATATGCATACTCTGGACCAGCAGCATGCGGCGGAGGCACCATAGGTGGAAAAGGAGGTGGATGAAAAGGTACACCGTGCACAAGGTAAGGAGGAGGAGGAGGTGGGGGACCACTTTGGTTGGCCTTCGAGCCTGGCTTTGAATGACGGTTAGATGGATTCTTGTGCGCCGGGTTGCCTTTACCACCACCCTTAGATTTCCCTTGACCAGCTACACCCTAAACATTAAACAAGAACAAATTCAATGCTACAGAGAGTCACAGACCTTCAGGTAAAATCACATGAACAACTACATGTCATAACCATCATAAATCGATAAAACCT